CGGAGGCAGCGGCGACGGCTGGCCAATCGGGCAGAGGAAGTGGCCGCCGGGCCGGTGGTCATGCGTGGAGGTGGGCTGTAAATGGCGGGGCGTGGTGGTGGCGGCTGTCGAGATGGCGACTGGAAGACCGGAAAAGGGGGGCGCGGCGGGTCGGGGGCCAAAGGAGGAGGAGGCGCAGGCGGTGGCTGCCGGCGCAGACGACGCCAACGTGGCAGAGGCGGCCGGACCGGCCGACGACGTCGGTTTGGGCTGCGTCTCGTCGAAGCCGGCTCGGCCGGCCAGGCAGTAGGCGAGCAGTTGGCCGACAAGTCCGGCCGGCGGCACGCCTACTCGAGCCGACGCGGCATCGCCGGCGGCGTTCATGGCGGCCAGCGAGGGCAGAGCAAGCGCCGTCGTCGCGGCGACCGTCTGTTGGAGCAGATTGGCGACTGCGCTGGCGGCCGCTGTGGCGGCTGCCGTCGAGCCTCGTCCACCGACAGAGTCGGCGGCGGCGCTCATCAAAAAGCGGTGCAGCAACAATTCGCCTCCCGTCGAGTCGAAGGGCCCGCGTCGCGAATGACGCCGACTCGAGCGACGTCGACCGGCCGTCGATTCGTCTGCCAATCGGCCGGTCGCGGTAACCGCCGCCGTCTCCGGCGACGTCTGATCGCGGTCGCAAGCTCGAAGCCGTTTTCTCGGTCGACTCGTCTGCAGGCTTGAGGCGTCCGAGTCCGTGCTTATGCTAGCCTCGGTCTCGACCAACTCATCGCCACTCTCCTCCGCATTCACACCCGCCTCCAGCCCACTCATATCGGCCCCCTCGCCCCCATCACACTCGTCTAGAGACTCCCGCTTCTCCGGCCAGCATCTCCGGCCCGACGGCCCTGGCGACCGACGATAGCAACGTCGATGCAAACCTCGTCTGCCGCGCCGCCGGCGCCGACGCCGCCGCTGCCGGAGACAGTCCGACTGAACGTGCTCCTCGTCGTCGTCGTCCTCCTCCTCCTCCTCCTCCTCCCCCTTCTCCTTTTTACCCGCCTCCTCGGCTTCCAGGCTGGCCATTGGATGACAAGCCGCCGCCGGTGCCAGCAACGCCAGAGGCAGGCCATCCCCGCTGGGCGACTCGGTGGACGGACTGTCGTCCGAATGGCCCGATAACTTGACTGACTCCTTCAAGGCTGAACTTGAGCCGAGTGCACTCGTTCGATTCGAGGCGACAAACTGAATTTGGGGCAAGTTGAACAAAAGAACAACATCAGTTGGTGGGATTGCTGGGACCACTTCAAATCTGCTCATTTTTGTCCACATGATATGAACAAACAATTGATTTTCCAAGATACCCCCACAGAAACTAGTGTCACTACGCTACCGAACTAACAACAACTCATGAGTGTTTAACTTTCTTCTGTCCGTTGTTCCATTTTTCACA